CAAAAAACAAAACAAACCAAACCAAAAAATCCCAAGGGCATAGTACCCGATCTTCTGCACTGCCCTAATAAAGGCTACTTTGCTCAGTGTACTTGGTTGCTTAGCTGTTTATTTTAATAAATTAAAACAGACCTAGCTGAAATAGCAAAAACACATTATTTTTAACTCTTGATTAGTTTTATCAGTTACTCTCCATGCTTAGTTTTTTGTCAAAATAAAAAAATAAAAGGTAAAGATAAAAGTGAAATAATCCACCTGCGCAGTAAAATAAAGCTCTGCTGATCATTTTAACAGTTTTAACAATAAAAAGTCAAACGCTGGAGTTAATGTAGCCTATATCTGCTAATTCACCCTTTAACCCTGATGGCTGGCACACAGACTGCTAGTCACCATAGCAACACAGACAACTCTCGCCCAGCTAGTAGCTAACAACAAGGCAAAGAGAGAGATTTAAGACGAACATCAATAATTCTAAGACAAATTGTTTGCATTTACGAACACTCCAGCTGGTTTCCTGATACGTTTAATATGCAAAAAACTGTCAAACACCAAAAAGTCGCGAAGCTGAAGTCAGCTTCTCATTTCGCCAGCTTCTTGTTTGAGTTTTCCAGTTCCACCTTAAATGGTGCAGCAGTTACATTACATCCATTTAAGGTGGAACTGTAAAATTCAAGTTTTCCAGTTCCACCTTAAATGGTGCAGCAGTTAAATAACATCCATTTAAGGTGGAACTGTAAAATTCGAACAAGAATCTGGCGAACGAGAAGCGACTTCAGCCTCGTGAAAAGTCTAACTTTGAGAGACATTTTGCAAGAAACTATTCCACTTTTGAAGAAAAGTTTCCTGCTGGAGATGCGAGAAAAGCAGTTACAGATGAGCTGAAGCTTAAAGCAGAGCAAAGTAAGTCTGTGTTTTCATTCATATTGTATTTTTTAGCCTATAGTAGGACATTAGCATATACGGAGACATGTTTACAGTCAAGATGGTCATATGTTACTTCAATAAACTGACATAAAATGTTGTGGTTCCCAAAGTGGTTTGGTTTTTGTTGGACAAAATGGCTCTTCTTAATATTTGGGTTGCCGACCCCTGCTCTAGATGTTTTACACATCTTACAGGATAATGTTTCAGTGAAGTGTTCAATATTTTTTTTTTACTTTGCTGAGTTGTGTATAACCCTGTACTGTACCGGTTATTTGCAGCAGTACATGAAATTTATCATGGACAGTTTCCATTTGTGACAGAGTGGGCAGGCTGGTGGAACCCCACATGCTGCTAAACCTTTAGCAGAATGGTCTGTTACCCAGTGTCTGCAGGTTTGAGTTCCACTGTTTTAAAGAAAAAGTATAACTCTGGCACAGTTAGTCCTTGACATATCATTTTCTCCAGAAACAAAAGTTATAATTTGATAAAATCATATTGCATTGAAATCTCAGTGAAAACTGCATCTGCTTTTTTTCATCCATACAAATCAACTCAGTGTGACAGGATCTCACAACGACTAAACAGGAAACTAAATATTAAAAAAGGAAAGGAAAGAAAAAACAATTAACTATATCAATTGCCTGGACATTATTGATAATTATCGATAAGTCCTCCCACCCTAATTACATTTGTATGAAGGTATCTCACCCACCACCATCCTAAATGGGAACACAAAATTCAGAAAAATAGATAAAATGGGAGAAAATTATTGATAAAATGTTCATATCTGTACTATCTAAAACCATGGTATATTAGACTTGAATGCGATTAGGGCTGGATGATTTCCACAGTCAATTAACTGATTCATTATGGCTTTGATTAATTGGGAAAAGATTCGTTTCGAATAACACAAAGTAAGTCAGCAGCAGTTTGTTAAACAATCAGGCTTCAATGGCTGCTACATTGTTTTTAGCTTTGCACAGTACTTTTGCCCATTTTTATAGGTAACGGTAAGCCATACAGTGGCAGAAACCACGTAAGCAAGTTAGCTTTTTTGCCAAACTAATGCTTTTTAGCATCATCTTTCAACACCATACAAAAAAGACTAAATGAAGCCACATCCACTAAACACCAGACCGCTTTTAAACTGAAGGCAAATTAACAACAATTCCAGCTCTTATTATTAACAAGAATCAAAACACTTAAACTACACAGCCACCAGTTTATCAGCTTGGTTGTTTGGGTCGTGCTTGCTCCACTGCACGCGAGTCCAGCTGGAGGCATTAATGAAGACAGATAAAAGTGGTGGTGGTGGGGGGTTTTGGAGATCAGCATCGTCTGGGGAAGAGGCGTGAAACTGGACTTAATTGCCTTCATGATCAAGTGCCCCACAAAGACCGCCAGTAACCCTACCTCGCCCACTGAACTCAAAAACACGGCGCAGCCTGGATACTTCCTGCACTCCTCTTTCTGTTTAATTACTCTCAGCTTACCATGTCCAGATCATCTGAGGGCAGATCAGCGGAATGTAGTGCAGACAGGGCCAGCAGGGGCTGGATTCTGACAGGTTAAGTCAGGGCCTTAGATGAAAAAGCCCAAGAGACATGTGAATAGAAAAGACACTTTTGTCCAAACGGAAAGCCTTTCTCAACCCGCAAGCAGTTCAAAGTTTTCAGTATTGATGCCGGTAATGCTGTTTGAGATCTTAAAAGAGCAAGATTAAAAAAAAGAATTTAATATGTTACACTATATGGACAAAAGTATTGGGACACCTACAGGAGCTTGTATGACATCCCATTCTAACTCCATGGGCATTAATATGGAGTTGGTCCCCCTTTGCAGCTACAACAGCTTCCACTCTTCTGGGAAGCTTTCTACAAGATTTTGGAGAGTGTCTGTGGGAATTTTTGTCCATTCATCCAGAAGGTAATGTTCTCCTGACATTTGCCAAACACAGACTTGTCCACCAGACTGCCAGATAGTGATGCATACATGCCATATAACCACTGGGAATCTCTATCATAATCAATAAATCTTGCTAAAACCAAAAACAGTACTCAATAATCAAAGTAGCAGTTTACTCGTAGTGCATATGATATGTTTATGGAGACTGTTGACACTGAGCAGAAACAAGCAGGACAAACAGCAGTGTGGGATTTAGAGGAACTCACAAACCTGAAGCAGGTCCTCAACTAAAGCTCATAAAGCTCTTTAAGCTTCTTTAATTACAGCAGGTATCTTATTAAGGCCTCATTTTCAAGTCAGCTACTTAGGAAGAGCCAATGTAAACATATTTGGGAAACAACAAAGCCTTATCTTATTATACATCTCCTCTCTTCCATTCATCACACCTTTATCCGTCACTCCAAATCTGTAGGACAGATAATGAATAATAATTTTCCAAGATTAATTTCTTTTATTTCATGCATCTGAAAAGTCTGAACAGATCCGTTCTCCATTGTGATTCCGTAAAGAGGGCATCACTGACCAGCAATTAAAAATGGAACATACCAAAAAACAATTCATCAGCTTTACCTCAGGGTGGCCTGCTGCTGCTCCATTTGACAAACTGCATGAGAGCTTTCAGCAGCACATTTTCCCTGAAATATTATATTAACCATAAGAGCACTGCATGGTCGGCGCGATATGACGACACTCATGTAAGACCTTTCTCAGTGGACTCAGCCAATCGAAAATAAATGTAAAAAAGCTTTCATCGCCTTGGCTGCGAGCCACTGTGATCTAACTCATCAGTATGTTAGAGCAACGAAGGTAGCTCATTAGGGGGCCAAACACCTAACAGAAGAAAGAGATTTCAACCATCCAGCTGTCAAGGTCTTCACACTTAATCATTCAAAGGCTGACCAGAATACTGCATGAAGACTAGAGCTGGAGTGATAAAGTTGTTTGATATTAAAGCTCCAATGCCAGATGTCAGGCACCAGAGCTCCGCTCCGGTGTACTCCGGCCCGGTTTAACCCCTGCTTGACTTTAAAGATTAGACACTTAAAAATAAAGGGTCCCAAAAGGTTTTGCCATGGACGGACAATTCTAGGGAAAACTTTATTTGGTATAAAACATTTACATTATATTGAGGAACTCCTCACACACAACTCTTATCTCACATGCAAAAGTGGAAGGGCAAGAAATTTCAGCCACCGAAAATGGTTGAAAGTGGTTTTCATCCAATGAAAAAGGTCTGCAATGAACATTAAAATCTAACACTTAACAAATAATATGAACGGTACTGAAAATGAAATCATAGTCCTATGCTGGTCAAAACAGCCATGTTCAAACAGAGTAGAAGGAGATCAACAGTGCAACAGAAACACTGTCCGCATGGCGATTATTGAAACATCACCAACATTATTATGTAAATTTCAAAACATATTCTTTATTCTATTCTATTCAAAGCCCTTTCTTTCAGTTTAGGTCCCAAATTTCAGTTTCGCTCAAGAATTTTCATTTCAGTAAATCGCTAAAAAGTGTTTTTTAAAGAACCAACAGTTACCAACCAACATTTCTGGCACCTTTGTGATTAACAGTGTATGGAAATGAACAGAAGACATCACTCTTTTACAGCACTGCAACAATAAGGGATGAAGTCTTCAGTGTACATCCTGCCCAGAAGGAGAAACACAGAAAACCTTAGAGTTTTACACCACATGCTAGCCAGACAAGGCTGTGAGACTGTGCTGTGGCCCATGAAGGGGCAATCTCGGTCACAGTGGAACACAACCCCACTGAGGCGCTTGGCCACGTCAGAGCACAGGCACAGATCCTCGTCTATTTGTGCCACTTGCACTACACGGTCTCATCAGTCAACCCGCAACGGCAGTCAGTCAGAGCCGCGGTGCGAGAAAGATCAGACGGAAAGCGGCTGAGACGAAGCTGCTCGTGGGCGCCCAGCACGTAGACAGGTCGTCTGGCAGGGAGGAGAGGAGGCTACAAGCATGGGCGAGCACTGATGGATGTTTGTGGTGGAGGTTCAGAGCGTGAATATAGAGATCGGGTCGGTGGAGAAAGGAAGCAGGCCAGAAAGCGAGATGCTGTCAGAGATACAGAGCGGCACTCACCTTTGTGGTTGATGCAGCGGATACACTGCTTGCTCTGGATGTCCCACATCCTGACCGTTTCATCGTGGGAACCTGACAGCAACAGTGTGCCGTCCATGGAGACGGAGAGACACGTCACCATGTTCCTGCAACAATACACGGCAGACAGTTACAGCCTGGTACACTCAAACTGCATTAGCTACTTTTTTGTTTGACATCAGTGTAAGAAGACCACCAGTCATTTATTTATATATAATATTTCCAAACAAAATGGTTCATTAAATACAAGTTATTAATTTAGGAGATATTTCTAGAGAGATTAGGTAAAAGATCATTATTTTGCATAAGGAAAGGGAAAGTCTATAGAAAAAAAGTGGAAAAAAATTTGAGAATCCAAAATTAGAGATCAAAATATTTTTAAAAAAGACAGAGGAAATGGGACTCCGAACTATCGTCCAAGACACGGCAGACCACCAGAACTGTCAGCAACAGTACAACAACAGCACTTAAAGCTTTTATCTTTGAAAGAGTGGAGAAAATCAAGCCCCACTCCTGCTTCAGATCTGAAAAATCCACAGGTGCTTCTGTCCATCTTTCCACTATGAGAGCACAGCTTACTATGATTCTGAAAGGATGTGCAGCTGTTCAGACCCAGAGAAACAGAAATACTAAAAAAAAACTGCATATCAAACAAAGACGCTGCTGGCGTTCTCAGAAAAATGGACTGACCACCCCAGAGTCCAGACCTCTACATCATTGAATATGGTTGCCATTACTTGGATCATGAGCAGAAAAAGCAACCAACTTCTAAGACTGAACTTTGGAGGTGTGGAAAAATATCATTTTCTGCTTTTTTTTCTCTGATGCTGAAAAATTAATAACTGGTAATAAATGGTGGTCTCTGACTTCTGCACAGTACTTGTATGAAATGATTCTAATATGCTAGTCCTGTACTGGGATGTTCTCCCAGACAGGCAGTACTATGTTGATGAAACAATAAAGAAAGAAAAAATCCTGTTCAAATATTAATCTATTGGAACTGTTTTAACTGAAAGGATTGGTTGAATATGTATTTGTCTGTTAATGGTTTATCAGCATCCCTATGTAATAGGTAATTATATTACCTACTATAAATATGTATAAAACTGCAACTGCAATTATTTATTACTCAACACAGAATAGCACATTTTTAATACAAGTGAATCCAAGTTTTTGAGTGATAGTATAAATGCCTAGTATGCGCAAGTACAGCATTTTCTACTGGATCATCTTCACCTGTATTACAGGTCTTATGCTAACACTGCAAACAGCATAATACACATGCTTGGGTTCACATTTCCCTGGATGATCCCTGCTTGGCAAAGTTCAACAGCGTTATCTGGCTCTGTTCACATATGGCTGACTGAATAATTACCATATGTGTGCTCTAACAGTGTGATACTTCAGGAGGAAAACATTTTCCACTCCAAATTACTCATGCGGTATTACTCTGGCTGGACGCTACCACTGTTTACAAATGCCTAGAGTCTGCTTCTGCGCACCCATTGTGCTCTGCCCAAAAATTCATGGCACGGACACATATACTGGCAGCTTCACATACCATGCGGTGGGGTGCGATTAGAATTCTTCACCTCTACAGCAAAGCGTTTCAGCAAAAAAAAAACAAAACAAAAAAAAAAACTTCCATACAGAGGCTTTGCAGCCAAGCTACAGACTCCACACCAAAGCGTCTGAGACAGTAACCCAGCGGCGTTTAAAATGGCAGCTTCACCTCCAGCCTCCAGCCTGAACTTTAAGCTTGCCCTTCCTCTCAGAGACTGACGGGGCTTCCCTCAGCTTTCTGATCTCGGCACAGACACACAGCAGACCAAAGCAGACATCACCTTACCTGTGGCCTTTGAACACCTGATTGCCTTCACTGTCTGACTGGAAAGTCTTATCCCGGCTTAAAGTCTGCCAGTAAAAGGAAGAAAGAAGAAAGAAGAGAGAAAGAGGGAAATATTTAATACAAAACAGGCAAATGTTTGAGGCTCCAAAAACAGACGCTAAACAAATGAGCTCACCACATCATATTGAGATTATGCTGCTAGAGATTGTGATTGCGATATGCCCTACAATTAGGGCTGTCAAACTATTAAAACACTCATGATTTATCACATTAAACAAAGATTTTTTTCCAAAAAGAGCAGTACATCTAGTTATAGCTACAGTCATATGCAACATTTACATTTTACACGTTTTGTTAACACATTCACATCCACTTAAATATCCACTTAAATATGGCTACATTCTTATTTGCAAATTTTAGTGCATATGTACATACATATATACACACACACACACACACAGTTTTTTATATATATATATATATATATATATATATATATACATACATATACATACATACATACACACACACACACATACATACATGCATACACACCCACAGATATATATATAAAATGTGTGTGCGTGTGTGTGTGTGTGTGTGTGTGTTAAATTCAGCAAATAAACAGTAATTGACAGAAGTGTGTTCTCTGTAGAGGATGTGTTAATCACTTGTGTTCACTTAGAAAATAAAAAAACAATATAATTTGAGTAGGGGTGCCCAGACTTTTGCATACAACTGTATATTAGTGAACAAAATGAGTTTCATCAGATGTTGATTGTTGGTTAATTTATCAGTAGTGCTCCTGTGAGTGTCCAGTGTCCAGTAATACTGCTACCTTAAGAGCTAACTGCAATATAACTTCTAACAAAATAAGAAAAATGTCAAAGTGTAAAAAGCAAAGTAAAATAAAAGACTTCAGCTGCTGAGTTCTTGTGAAAGGAAGGAGAAGGCCTTCTGCTTTATTGAGCTTGGATGGCAAGATGGTTCCCGGACAACCACAATGCAAAGAACATGTCAAAAACACCCACTTTTATATCCTGTTTGGGCCGATGAAGAAATCGCCCCTCCTTTTCTATGGAATTCTATACCGTCTTAGTTCCCATTATCTCCAAACCTTACATGTACATGGGAACCGTCACATCTGCACTTGGGAACCCTTATTTCCAATCATACATGAAATATGTTTTTTAAAAATATCCTATCTTAGTTGTACCAAAATGTTCCAGTACCCAAGGACATTAGCTTTTGACTGGTTGCATTGTAAGTTCACCTGTTCCAGGGCTGGTTCTTACCTCAAGGGCAGTTCTTCTTGCTCACACAGCAGATCTTAACAAGCTTCAGGAGGCCCCTTTTACAAACAGGCTTTGAAGCTAAGGCCTATTTTACAGTGTGAAGATTACTATTCTTTGGTTAGTAAACACTACTTGTTAACATAATCAGAAAAAAAGATTATTTATTCAAAACATCCATCAAGAGCCTGCAATGCAACTTTTTGCTTTTTAAAAGTAGTGTTTGAACAAGACAGCTATAGTCGTGGACTCATGGCAACAGCATGTGAGCAGCTGAACTTCAGGCTGGAACAACGGATGGTTCAGTAACATAGTATAACATCACATTAATAATTATTCACATTAATGTGTTAACTTTGACACCACTACCTACAATATACCAATACTACACTGTGTACTGTCAGTGTGTAAACCTGGGACCATCTGTCCATTTATGTTATCGTTTTTTTTCATTTTGCCAGAACTCCAATCCTGTTGTAGTTAAAGCTACACTCTGACAGTTCTGGGGATTTGGAGACCCCTCTGGTTGAAATGTGTAATTGCACGTAATGTGTGGAAGAACATCTTAACATCGGTTGTGCTTCAGACCCATTCCCCAAGTGGACAAATCTGATGATTTCGAGTGTGTTCAAAGAGAATTCAAAGAGAACTCAATCAAAACTTGGTAAAGGATGTGTGTTCTGAGGATGTAAGTGAATTATGTGCTATTGTCATCATATCTTCATCAGTATAACGTTAATGTAGCATTTGAGGGCAAAAATGTGTGCGAGACGTTAATACGTAAGGACATATGACTTGGTCTGAAAACCTGCCAAATCCGACCCGATTATTATTTCAGGCTTTACAGGGTGACTCACGGAAGATACTCACATAGAAACTCATCTCTAATATCTGATGGTCAGGATGCTCAAAGTAGACACTGAGCATTTTTTTCATTTGTTAAATGGCTTATTTTATTTACATTGCAGCCTTTTGTGATATCAGTATTCCAAAAGCCAATACTGAAATATCGATTAGCAAACGATATATTGGTCAGCCCTAATTTAGGTACAGACGCTAACATGTCTATCTTCTCTTAAGTATACATTAGAGGGTTTTCTGGCTCTCACCATCTCCTAAATGCTTTGATCGATTGGCTTAATTTCATCAATTAAGGAATAAGTGGCATCAGGCATGTGGGTGGTCCACTATTTCTAAACTGGGGCACTGCTGACTCAAACCATTACATCACTTTTTTAATGGCTTGCTTGAGGATTCTCAATTAAACATGACAAGTGGAGTTAAGAGAACGGACGGATTACTGGCTGTATGGGGCCAAAACGCATCTATTTCATATTCATATATGCACGCTAATACGCCTTTCAGTATGCAGACGCTGGACTTGCCAGGAAATAAAGAAAATGCATATTTAGAGAAGGGAACTGGAGCAGGAAAGTGTTTTAATTCCAAATTAAAGGATACAGCGTACACTAGAGCCTGACCAATACAGCGGCAGGCCGATAATACTGACGTGCCACAAAAAGCATTGAGGAAAACCCTGCCGATAAAGAGTCAATAATCAGTGGCTTGTCCTATAATACAATAAACCCAGGGCTACTTCATTAAATGTGAATCATTATTATTTTTTTTTTTGCTTAGAATTAGATGATCCTCACATATGATTCTTTAACATATTAATTATCTATGTTGAAATTCAAATTACAAAATGACATCAGCATTTCCTAAACCAAGATTGTGTTATGGTGGCTTTAGTGTTGTGCAAGCTCTTTATCACTGAATATAAATTTAAACCAGCACAAATGAGGCCTGATTTTACCAAAATTGATTGGTGTCATGGAAGT